GCGCGGCCGCGTGCCCCCCCCTATTTCCGAAATCCCGACGCTAAGTTCACCTGATGCCGAACAACAGACAGCACTACCAACGGATGCCCGAATCAAACGAACAGAACACACATAAATCCGACAAAGAAGCGGGCATCAAGCCACGCAAGATACCCAAGGTAGTCGAAGAAGGCAACGACGACTGCGGTGATGACTTCAAAGGTCTCGGATGTAGTGCGTACTACACCGACGTCCCCTTGATTTCCGACACGGGAGGCGATGATGAAGAGGAAGTTTTCATCACGTGACTTGCGGGGCTACTTGCTGAAACATGCGCATGCGGATTCTCCATAATCCCATCGTTATGCGACGGACGACACAACAAGGTTGATATGTTGGAATTGTACGGGGAAGTGGAGGTATATCGCAGCTAGCATTCAGCCGAGGCTTCTCATCCGGAGGAAACTTAGACAAACGCTCATATGTTGACCAGGATGCAGTGATGCATTGCCTCGATGTGTGCTTCGTCAATGTTGTCATACTACAACCCAACTGCAGAGCGACTGGACTACCTTCCTATTTCAACTCCCAAGGCAACTATGGCACCTGTCATGAGCATCATAAAGAAGATCTTCCACATACCAAGTTCAGTGGAAAAGTTGCCGTGCGCCAAAACGACCTTCGACGGTTTTACCTACGAGAACAACCAGTGGGTACTTGGGTCAATCAGATACCGCCATGGACCACAGTGGCCAAATTCAAGGGCGCTTGCAAAGCGATCATGGGTCAATGTATTACTGGCTCACGTGATTCCCCATGTGGTATTGATACGAAAACCAACCGAGAGTATGGCCAACCACTGCCTTCTACTTTCACCCTTTGAACGAAAACGATGTGCTGGCCATCATCAACGTGCATCGGTATGTAACAAAGAACTGCCCATGGCTGCACAGTATACTTCAAGGATGCAGTCTCTTTTCGTCGATGCAGTTCAGACCGCGCACGACCTATTCCAAGTAAACCGTGGCCCCTTTCATGGTCACCCTTATTCTTCCACCGTGCCAGCCACCAACGTGAGGGGATTTCATTCGGACGATCCAACTGTCCATCGGCAGCCCGGCGGGTCGATCACCAGACCACCGGTCGGGGGGTTAGGGTGTCCTGCATGCGCGGATCATGTTAACATCTACTCTCCTTCACATGACAGAAACCCTAAGCATTGCAGGTGGTACGATAAGGAAGACTACCATTGGGAATGTCCGAGCTGTAAGAATAACTACGACCATAACGAGCCTGGACATGTACGGGCACCTGGCAAATTCAAGGTTGCTAAACCTTGGAAACTGCCCGACAATCCCAGACAGGCGCCACCGGCTCCTGCTGAACCAGCAGCACCACCACCCGAGGCACAAGCCGCAGCACCATTTGTGCGGCTAGGAGCACCAAGACCTGGCTCTAGAGCCGGACCCACAGCGGGCGCCAGCAGCCACGACATTACAGTAGGCAGACATGCTGCTGAACCTGCTGCAGGGCAACCTGCCTCGAGCGGAGCGGGTAGTTCGGATGGCCACATCCGACTGCCAAAGGTCAGAGTCAGACGTGGCCGACAGCGAGGAGGATATCCACCTCCGACAGCTGCGCGCCCATGACTTCCAGACTGGTCATGGTTCGACGTACAAGCCAATCTACAAAACTTACGAAGCCTTGATCCAAGCGTGGTAACACGCGAGCTGCGGAAGCTACATTTGCGTTGGTTCCATGCGAAAGAGCTTAAGATGATACTCGCCTTAACCAAGATAGGTCTGGACAACGTTCAACCTGAGCAACGGTGTCTGCGACGCGCGTCGGGAGTGCAGGGCTTGGGACAAGCATGGGCATACGGTTATGCCATATACTGCACTGCCTGGCAAGTTCAACGAAGAAGTTGAATGTGACCTCATGTCGCAAAAGCCTCTCTCCCGCTCATTTGCCCAGACTGCGTCGACATCGGGATCCGCGCCTGAGGGGTCTCTTGGTTAAGCGCTCCTGCTGCGGGCGGCCTCGGCGTCGGGGCGCCCGCGGCGGCGAACGCATGGTTGCTCCCTTTGCCAGGCGCCCATCTACTCTTGGAAAGCCGACCACCCGCAGGTTGAACTCCTCGAGGGGCACGACGCATTGCGAATCGGATATGGGTTCGAAGCGCCCTGCTCACCGCGGGCGGAGGCGCCCCCGCCCCGCGCTGCGCGCGAGGAGAAAGCCAGCGCGCAACATGTGCACCTCGTGCCAAGCGCCTTGGTCGGGCACGGTCGGCGGCGCCGCGGCGTGTTCCTTGGCCATCTCCGCCACCTTCTCGACCGCCCTTTTGATGCCGCGCTGGCGCACCGAGATATCGCGGCGCGCGTCGAGGGGCTGGTCGACAGAGCGCATCGCGCCCCCTAGCCTGAGAGTTCGCCCCCGAGCCAGCATCCAGCTGCGCATGAACCAGTGGCGCCGCCCCGAGCGACCGCATCCGCCGGGGGAACTCATTGCGAATTTCGGGTGGGGGGGGGGATTGGGCGTCGATGGCCTGCTGCGCGCGCGCTCGGCCGTGCGATATTGCTGTGGCAGCTCGCCCTTGGCCTTCAGCTGTTCCGCTTCGGAGCGGGCCGCGGCGGCGCCGCGATCCGCGGCGGCGCGGGCCCGCCGCTGCGCGGCCGAGCGTTGCGCTCTCGAACGACGTAGACAAACTCGGGGATGACCAGTGGGCGGCCCCTGGGCCTCCCGCGCCATCCCAAGCCATTTCAAGACCCTGCAGTTCTACGCGCGCGGAGAAAGGGAAACCCTCGTGTCCGGGCCGCGGGCGGTAGCCCATCCACGCGGGGCGCCGTCCGCAGGCGACGGCGACGCGCGAGGCGCCGCATTCATTCGCGGCGCTGCGCGACGACCGTCTCCAGGGCAGTCGCGACGAGCGCGGCGCTTGCGCCGGCGACGGCGCGGGCGAGGGCGCTAGCGGCCTGGGCGGCGCCCCCGACGCGGCCAGGTCCGACGGCCGCGCGCGCTCCGCGCCCAGCGCGTACATCGCCGCCCTGGTCGCTGATTTGCTGGGGGAGGCCTGCGCGGGGCCGCGCGGCCCCAGAGCGAGAGAGAAGTGGCGCCATTGCTCCAGCTGGGCCAGGGCGGCTCGGGGAAGACGCGCGCGGTGCAGAGGGTCGTCGCCCCAGTGATGTCATGGGCCCTAAACGCACCCTTGCCTGGGGTCAGCCAGGGTGAAGAGGGCCGCCCGCAGGATTGGGCGCGCCCGCGTTCTTGCCGTCGAGGTGGCGAGCGCGGCGGCGGCCGCGGCGCGCGACGCCCTGGGCCTTCGCGCCGCGCCGCGGACGCAGTGGCGAGCGAGACGTGTGGGGGCCCGCCCGCAGGCGGCCGCGCCGCCATTTCGGGGGCGTCCCCATCGCGTTGCATATCGGCAATTTTCCGCAGCTGAGGCCCACCGGCAGCGTCGGCCTGCTGACGGGCGTGAGCGGGCCCCTGGGCGACGGGTCGCACAAGTGCGCGGAGCCGCCGACGCTGGAGATTTAGCGCGCCACCGAGGTGTTCTCGCAGACCCCCTGCGTCTTCGAGCTGGGCGCGAAGCGCTTCGAGTCAAGGGCCCATTTGATCGCTCTGTTGGGCTGCGCGCGCGAGGGCGAGCCCTCCCCGCCAGAGGTCTGGTCCACATGGTAGAAGGCGTTTGCCTCGGACTGCCGCGGCGCCCTGGGCCTTCGGCGCCAGCGCGAGATCCCCCCGCCTTGGTTGTGGCTTGGGTGCGTTATTGGGAGATGCTGGCGAAGTGGACTAACGCGCGCGCTCGTCTGGACGCGCGAAATCGGGGCGCGCCTTTGTTCTTCCCAGGCGAGTGCGACGCGACCAGCGGCAGTCCCGACGCGGGCCAGCGTCTCCTGAACGCTTTGAACACGCGCGAGACGGTGGACTTCCACGGCGTCGCGCCTGCGCGCGTCGGCGCGCAGGTTCGGTTCGCGCCCGCGCGGGAGGGGCTGAGAGAAAGTCGAGGCTCGCGCAGGGGCGCGACGCCATCGTCGCGTCCTCTGAGGCGCGCCAAGGCGTCGGGCAGGAGCACGAGGAGCGCCCGCCGGGCCAGCTCGGTCACCTCTGCGCGGTATCTCCACGCGGGCGCGCGGCTTCGTTGAGTCCCCGATCAATTGGGAGGCCGCCGAGCTGCTGCCGCAGGGCGCCGAAGGCGTTGGCGACGACGGCGAGGCCGAGGCGCAGGCGAGGAGCTCGCTCGTGTTGAGAACCCGGCGATCAGGAGCTCACGCGGCAGAGCTCGGGGCCGCGCTTCGCGCGCCGCTCGGGTTTCACCTTGGCGCGCACGCCCTATCTGACCCTCGCTCGGTCGCAGGATCAGACGCTGCGCGAGGGCGTCGCGCGTCGCCATCGACTGCGCCCGCGCTGCCACCGCCTGAGCGCGGCCGCGACTGGATCGAGACCTGCGGCGGGTCTGTCTCAACGGCTTGTCCCCGCGCCCCAGCGGGTCGCGGGGCTGCCCCAGCGGCCTAGCCCGTGGGTTTGCCCCAGCGGCTTCGCGACCCGGACATCGTAAATCGCCCGCGCGCGCTGGCAGAGGCGGCGACGGCCCCGAGGAACATCGATTTGCGCGCCCGCCTTTGCGAGAGAGGCCGGGGAGGAGGTTGAAGGGGGAGCAGGGGCCAAGAGTACGACGAGGCAAACCAGGGGGCGAGAGGGAGGAGGGCTTCCGTTCGGGCTAAAAGGAGAAGGGCGATGAGAAAGCCTCTTCATGCACAAGGATGGCGACTAGGATTACTGTCGGAGTTATTTTGGGAGAATCAAGCGGGGTCCGCCGGGGCAGCTTGTCGGCCCGAGCCGTTGTTTGACGGCGCCGCGGCCCGGCGCAGGCCCGGCGCAGCCCTTCATATGCCGTAAAAACAGCGAAAAACGTCCGTCTTGTTTTTTGGTCGAGGCGTCGAATGTCTGGGAAGCTTCGCTTCGAGGGCCCCGACGATGCGCCGCGAGGGCCGCCCGCCGCCGTTCGGACCCACAGCGCCGAGGCCGCTTTGCGCGAGGAGATCTCGCGGCTCCGCGCCGAGCTGGGCGCGAGCGAGGACAGGCGGGCCGCCTCGTGCCCCGGGCCGGCGATCGACTTTCGAGCCATCTTACCGTAGGCCTCCTAGACGGGGTCGGCGGACCGCGCCGCATCGGCGATGCGTCGCCGATGCTGGTCGATGTGGAGCATGATTTTCTTCACCCCGATGTCGCCGACGTCGCCGATGCAGCGCCGATGCGTCGGCGATGTGGCCTGATCATCCGACCCTATCGATTCATACCCCATTGAATAATCCTGTGCGTTCCTGTGTTACTGCCCCACACTGGGCTTCAGGAGACGGACGGGATGGATAACAACATCGACTGAATTGGCAAGATTGCTGTCCATACCCCACCCCAGCCCACTTGCGGGGTTGGTGCGTGGGTTGGGCCGTGAATAAAGCGTCGACCGCCTACTGGGATCTCAGTGGGCCTTGGACACGACAGGGCTGTTTCTTTGTTGGTTGATCAGGCTTTTGCAGTTTATGGCGACGTTGTTGTCCCCGTTTCCTTCGCCGTGTTTGTTTGTTTGTTGCCGTTTGTGTGTTTGCGGCTCCGATCTTGGAATTTGTTCTTCAGTTTTCATGTTCTAAAACAGGTTCCGGAGAGCGCAAACACATGGCCCTGCCGCTTCAGAGGCCCACTGAGATCTGGAGGATGACGAAACACATACGATGATACATTGTTTTTTGTTCCCCCGGTCTGGCGCGTAACGGTCGTTACCCGGGCCCGCGCCCCCTCCCCCCCCAGGCAACGGTAAGGATCGTGCGCAGGGTGGGGGGTCCAGGACACCCCCCCCGCGCGCTGGTGTTCGCGCACGTTTTGCGAAGATCGCGGCGAACCGCCGCCCCGACGTGCCCCGCCCCGCCCAAACGCTAATGTTACCAGAAATGGTACAATCCCCATCTCTGAAAAAAAACGCCGTCTTGATTTTTCCAGACGTTGCATGTCTGGCTGCGTACGTTTCCACCTTTCCCTGCGCTTCGCGCCCAGCGCGGACACACGCGCCCGAGACCGCCAGCGGTGCCAATCAAGCAGTCTGGGTGCGCACTCCTCCCCGACTCCTGCAGCGGCGGGCAGGGCGCACGGAGCCGTTTCGGCCTCGGCCTCGGACAGCCGCTGGTCCTTGCAGCTGTTCGATGAGGTCCTACAGGGGGAGGGGGTCATAGAGATAACAATAGCCAGAGGGAGAGAGACCCAGACATGCAACGCCTCGATAAAAAGCAGGACGGAGGCTGTTCGTTGTTTTCGGCCTCCTGGGGCCCTCGCCGAGCCGCGGGGCCGTCAAAGAACGGCTCGGGACGAACAGCAGCCCTGGGGAAGGGGTCGGTCGGGACCTCCATGGATCCCGTTTTGACCATAATCAAGGTATCGCATGTCCAAAGACCGTGCGGTTACTTCGAAATCCCGAAGGACCTTACCGCGTGGTCCGTCACCGCACGGTCTTGGGACCCTGGGCACCCCACTCGCCCGAGACGTCTTCGGAAAGCGACCCGAGTCCCTAAACCGTCTGGTGACCCCGAATGGCCCCCGATTGAGATCCGAGAGCGCGCTCCAGGATTTGGATGAGTGGTGGATATGTGAACATCTGCCCGCCCGCTTTGGCGCGCAGGTGCAGTCATCGTGCTGCAGTCCGTCCTGGTTGAGCCATTCCGGATTTGCCAGCGTTGGGGCGCCTCCACAGAAACGCATATCGTTTGCAAGTATAGATTTTTCGCCAACAACAAATCTGGATGTTTTTCTCTGTCCGCGATGGCCACATCCCTGTTTGGGAGCTGTGCTTTCGTTTCAGCTCTGGCCACGTCCGTAAGTATGAACGTTGCTCCAGCCTCAGCGCTGGACCCGTCCCTGGTCGAGAACGGTGGTGTCGTCTCCGCGCGGACCGCATTCATCGGGAATAGTGCTGCTGCTTTGGCGCCTCGAGCGCCGTCAGCAAACCAGGGCTTGAGCTAAACGGTGTTTTGGCGATTTCGTGGACCGTTTTCGTTTTGATGTCGTTTCGCAGCAAAGGCAGAACAAAGCCAGCGAAGGAATGCGAAAACAAAGCGTCGACGAAGCACACTGTTTAGCTCGAGCCCTGTAGCAAGCGAGCGAGTGAGCGAGCGGCTTGAAGGGTGTGGAGGAGTAGGAGGCGAAGGAGTAGGAGTAGGAGGAGGAGAAGGAGGAGGCGTGGGCCCAGCTGCTCCTACTCCCGCGGCTTCTGTTCGCGGTGCCTTCCGCCAGCGGCGGCGACGAAGAACAGCCTTCGGCCTCGAGAGTGTTTCCGCGCCGCCTTCGCCAGGCTTGGGCAGGGGACTGGACGGCACTGCGGGCCGCAACCGCACGACGGGGGAAGCAGCGGAGGACCGCCCAGGGCAACGCAAGGCAGAAGAGGTGACCCGACGAGTGCATGAGCTCATCATGCTTGGAGAGGTGGGCCGCGCGGCTGCGGCGGCCGTTGGGCCAGGCAAGGTTGCGCAGGGCCCTGACGTGGCTCGCGACCTTGCTGGCCTCTTCCCAGAGGCATCCGCTGTCCGCCAGCCGCCGCCCCCCCCCGCACAGCCCGTAGCGCCCTGGGAAGCCGAAGCGGCCGAGAAGGTGACGAGCAGCCTCGGGAATACCCGCGCAAGTCGGGCCCAGGCCGCCCGCTTCGAGCACTGGGCGGCCCTGTGCGGACACGACCGCTGCCGCTGCAGAAGCCAGGGGGCGGCGTCCGCCCGCTCGCTTGCGGCGAGACGCTGCGCAGGATGTCGGCCAAGGCGGCCACGGCGGCGCACAAGGACGCCATCGCCGCAGCGGTGGGCCGCCACCAGTTCGGCGTGGGCCGCAAGAGCGGCATCGAGCTGATGCACCGCGTCGTGGCGGCCACGCTCGAGAAGGAGCCTGGCGCCGCAGTGCTATCCCTGGACGTAGCCAACGCGTTCAACGAGTTCTGCCGGGACACTTGCTACGAGAGGTCGCCGGCCGCCTGCCCGAGCTTGCCCAGCTGACGGCGGCGTGGAATGGCGGGGCCACAACGCACGGGGCGCGCCTACTTGGTGCCCGGGCGGCGCCAGTCAGAGCGGAGCGCGGGGTTGTTGACCAGGGTTGCCCCCTCTCCCTGGCGTTCTTCGCCGCGGCGACGGCGACGTTCTACGAGAGCCAGGCGGCGGCGGCGCGCCACGAGGACCCCGAGGCCAGGGTGGTGGCCTACCTCGACGACGTGTACGTCGTTGGCAGCCCGCGCGCACTGGCGGCTGCGCTCCTCGCAGCACCAGTGCAGTTCTCGGATCGAGGCTTCCGCATGAACACGCGGAACCGCAGGTCTGGCATCCGCGCGCCTTGGACCTCCCTGGGCTGGTTGCCAGGGCGGAGGTGTCCGAGCTGACGCGCGTGGGAAGCACTCTTCCCTACGTGCGAAGCGCTGCGGGCGCAGACGACGACCCGGGCGCCGACCCCGCGAGGGCGAGCTTCTCGTTGGCGGCCGCCCTGCAGAAGGCCCGGGGGCCTTTCGACGCTTACCTTGCGGCCCTCCGCCAGCTCAGAGGGCACTGCGACGGCGTCGGGGAGAGGCTCGCAGGATGGCTACGCGCCCGAGGCGCGACAGGCGTAAGCGTGGAGAAATTTGCGCTCGCCTGGGACAGGGCGCGCCCGGGCGTCGCAGTCGAGGCAGCCCGCTTCGACGCGGCTTTCACCGACCCCGCGGCCGGCGCGACTAACGTCGACGCGGCGGTCACGGACGCCGCTCTTGGCGCGGGCGCCCCGGCGGGCCGGGGCCGCGCTGTCCGCGACGGCGCGGCCGCGGCGGCTGCGGGGGAGCGCGAGCGCCGGCGCTGCCTCGGCCGGGCGCTGACTGCCTTCGCGCTCGAGGCCTTGGGCCGCGCTGAGCGGGCCTGCGCACCCAGGCGCGCGGCGACGCCGCGGCGCTGGCGGCGGCGCGCCAGAGCCTCGCGGCAACGCTGCAGCGCGGCAGCGCGGAAGCGCACCCCTCCGCTTGCCTCGACGCGCGCGGCCGGGCGCGCTGCGGCGCTGGCGGCACCGAGCCAGCGGCCCGCCGCGCGCGCGAGCTGAGCTGGAGCGCGCCCAGCGGAGGAGGGGGGGAAGGAGGAGGAGGACGAGGAGGAGGAGGAGGAGGAGGAGGAAGAAGAGGAAACGGAGGAGGAAACGGAGGAGGAGGAGGAGGAGGAGGAAAAGCAGGAGGGAGGAGGACGAGGAGGACGAGGACGAGGAGGACGGACGAGGAGGGGGAGGGGGAGGAGGGGGGGGGGGAGGAGGAGGAGGGAGGAGGAGGAGGAGGAGGAGGAGGAGGAGGAGGAGGAATAGTAAGAGTAATAATATAAAACTACGACGAGTAAAACGACGAATGGTAATCGTAATAATTGGGGGGGAAAAATGGTGCTAAGAAGAAGGAGAAGAAGAAGAGGAGGAGGATAGGCAGGGTCAGGAATGGGAGGATGGGGTAAAAAAGGGGGCAGTTTGAGGCAGTTCGAGGAGGAGGAGGAGGAGGAGGAGGAGGAAGAAGAAGAGGAGGAGGAGGTTGAGTCCCTTCGACGTTCGCGCCGTCGCCGACGCCCGCGTCCGTTCCGGCGGCGGCAGCGGCGCCTGCTGGCCCTCCAGAGCCCGCGCCCGCGGAGGGCTTGGAAACGGCGCCCGCAGGAGCAGGGCGCTTTCAATTTTTTAATACCAGGGTAGCTTCTGCATGGGCTAGTACGGTGCTAGAAAAAAGCCGGCAGGCCAGCTAGGCCAGTTTCCTCTCCACGGCTGCCGGCCAGGGAGCGTCGTTGCGGCTAGCTCGAGCCATCGCCCAATGCGTGGGCCGCCAACATTTGCGCATCTCCTCGCGTTTCGAGTGTTCGCGTGCAGCTCTTAGGCTGTTCCTGGGTAGCGCCGTCGAAGCTCGAGGTTAGTGACTCGACAGCTTTCAGGCAGCGCCCAAGCCTGTGGGCCACAAACAATCCTCGCGTGAGAGGGGGAGGGGAAAAGAGACATAACGTTCCCAGGTTGCCCCTTGAGAAAGACATACGTGGCTTTGAAGCAGCCGGCAGGCTGAGCTAGGCCTGCC